AGTAAATTGATTAATTTCTTCTTAAAGTATACAAAGAGGTAGACTTAATTAAGTTTTCCGGTAGATTACTAATCTGTCTGATTAAAAGCTACAGTCTATCACCGCGAGATGATAAGTCATTCCAATCCTGCACCTGTCGCTTACACGAAGTTAATTTATATTTTTCAAAGGAATTGGAATTTTAATTTATAGCCATTCTCAAATTAATCTACTGCACAACCCTTCCCATTTTAGTCGAAACTTTGTAATCTCCCTATATTCATTCTAATTCTTCATCCAATCGATGCCATATTCATCCAATACCATTTCAATTAATAGGGGATAGTCAATCCCTTATATACTAATAATAAAGCTTTACATATGATATTCATAACATCTTGTTGAGCTCAGCACACTCTCTATTAAAAGTGAAAGTCGTTCAGGCTTGAAAAAAATTGAAAAACAGTCATACATTGTGTGTAGTTAGTCGTTGGGATATCGAAACTACAATCATAGACAAAAACCTTGAAACACTTTGGAAAATTTTGCTCCCTTTCGTTTTCCCGTCCCTTTTCCAATGATGTTGTAGCCACGTAACTTCGCAATCACATCTCAAAAATGCAGAGCTCGAGGGAAAGGGACGTGCATGGGTGTTTCATGGATTTTGGCGGACTGTAGCTCACTGCAGCGGCCGTTTGTTTTATTTCTGACACAAACGTAGGCGTGATAGACTCTCGTGTACTTATACCAAGACCGCAATCCGCGTGATCGGATCTTTGAAAACAATAATTTCGAGTTTTGAGAATCTCTGTTTCAAACAAATAAAAAGAAAACTAAATTATCAAACTATTTAAATTATAAAATGTTGCGTCAACAGAGCGACTTTTGCCAAAATTTAGCACAAATTGAACCGGCTGCAAAATTTTAGCAATCCCCCTCTGGCACTGTTTGATCGAACAAGCGAACCAACAATGGTTTTCGCAACCATAAAACACCCGTATTCGTTAACAGATTTTATAACATATATAACAAAAGTAAATCGCGCGCTCTGATTGGTCAGTTAGCCACTTCCATTTGCCCGTGGTTGCACGCCAAGAAACTGAGCTAGCGAGGTAAAATTAGGCAAATTCAACAAATCTCTCCGGACGGTAAAATAGACCGATGAAATGCACAGATGAAAAGTGGAAGTTTAGTTATTACACAAAACCTTTTAAAGTGGTTCGAACTTAAAGTGAACGCGTATTTTTTATGTCCAAGATACGGCGATTACCAAAGAGCTGAGCGATTTTAAATTTGCATCTCTGGTACAAAACTTTCTCAGGAAAAAGAAATTTAAAAGAAACGACATGAACAACTCTACTAACCTTCTTACTCAAGGTAACGAAGAAATGGAACTTCTTTTCACTTTGAAAGTTCCTTTTTACATAGTGGTGTCTATAGTCGTCTTCGCCTCTATCATCGCCTCTATCATCTAAGAACACAAATCTGCGTACCAGCACTAACTACTACATCACCAGTATGGCTTTCTCGGATCTGCTTTTTGTGGTCATTTGTTGGACCTTATATTCAATGAGCAGGCTTTCAGTTTTTGGAGACGTCCTGACTTCATTCGTTTGCAAACTTGGTGCATATTTTGGATATCTTTCCCTGTCGCTGTCGGTAAGCTTAATGCTTATTTCAGTAGACAGGTTCGTCGCCATCGTGTTTCCTATGAAAGTGTCGATGATTTCAGGCAGGCTAAGATCAATTTTCATTTTGCTAAGCTGGGTCTTCTCATTGGTTTTCTTTATTCCGGCTTGGTTTGAAGTAAGGCTAGGTAAGGAAACTGAAAAACCACGAATTTGCTCTCCGAGGAAGTTCAACGCACTGTACTCCGCTTACATCGTCGTAGGGCTTTTGGGCCTCTATTTTCTACCGCTTATCATCATCGCAATCTTAAATATATGTATCATAAATTTGTTGCGTAAATCTAATCCTGTCATCCAAGGGAACAGCCTGAGCAGCGCAACTAGACATAAAGGAAATCAGCGAATAATGAAGATGTTAATTTTAATCCTCGTTTTCTTCTTCTTGTGTTATACACCTAAATATACTTTCTTAGCTATTTGGGTCTTCACAAGCGACATGCAACTGTACAAAGTTCAAATTTTCTATATCTTCGCCCTCTTTTTCCTACCATTTCTAAGTACTTTTTTCAACCCTGTCATCATTTTTTCGCTGAGTACAAACTACCGTCAAGCGCTGAAGAATTACCTACGGGTTGTTTGTGGCATGTGTCAGTCATGCTTCAAGAGTAACCAATCGGCGTTTGAGGAAAATGTTGAACTTCCAGAAATGCGTGTGCAGCCGTAGCTCAAATTCAGTTCTGTAATAGAAATTCTGGATTTATTCTTAAATAGTCATTACGAAAAAATCTGTTTTGGGATAAACATGGCGTCAAAAATCAACTGAAAGATATGGAGTTACGTAAGCACGGAAATACCTTTGTGACAATCAAACGATGTTTGCGGGAATTGAAGTAGTGTATACAAAGGCCTCTTGTTCATATTCTCATCTAAACTTTTGGTTAGAACCAAACATTGTATGCTAGTCGGTTTTTGCTAAAATAATTAGACTACTCACTCTCGATTTCCAACAGATTGTTTTCACTCAGCTATTTTAATGCAAATTTCTTGGAACGAATTAGAAATTTTTTTTCTTGAGGAAGTAGTTCACTCCTTATAGGATTCTGTTAGTACTTCAATATGGTCGGCGATTCACTGTTTTGTAAAACGATCTATTGTCTCAAAGAACACTAAAACTCAGTCTGATAGGCCACTTCCGAGTTCCAAAAATTGTCATTTTAAAAGAGGCCAAGTCCGAAACCTTTGTGGTGAAAACGAGTATTATTTGCTTGAGAATAAATTTTCTTAACAACGGTTTCGCACTTAGCCTCGCTTTGAAACAGAGGCTTGGGGCTCCTTGTAAAATTGGCCTACTCTTATAGTTACAGTCCAATCAGAATCAGGGAGTTCAAGTTGTAAGAGCCCATGGGTTCAGGCATTCTTCTTGTAAACTTTTGGCGCGTCTCTTTAGTTAATTCAAGAATTTAATCAAGAAGATAAGATTACGGATAATTGGCCTGAATGACCTACAAAGACCCGACACTTTGGATACATGATCCCCACTGTTTCTTAATTTCGGATCTGAAAAGGGCAAATATAGCCAGCGGAAATTACGAATAATTTTTAAAATTATGCACAGATCACCTACTGTCGCAACACAAGCTCATGTTTATGGCCAGACAAAACGATCAGTTTTGCTCGTTAATTCGTTCTCTGAGATCGTAAAACAAAAGTAGGACAAAACTGCCACAAAACTTCTACGACTTTATTAATACTTGGCAAATAATACAGTGTAGCTATTGCAGTTACAGATGTATCGTTCGTATAGACATATTCGGCTTACACCAGAAATGAAAAGAGAGTTTAAAGCGTAAGTTCTGTTCTAGTGAACGTAATCATATAAACAGTGATGCAAACATAAAAAAGTTACTTTAATCAACACGCCATCCTATCTTATTCCAGAAAAAAGAAATGCCTTTATACCAGAAAAATTCCTAAAGCTCTACCAACATCTCCAATTTACTGAAATAGCATATGTTTGAAAAAGTTTGAACTTCGTTGAAGCTATTATATTAGGACAAACATCTAAATTATTCATAACATAGTCAAGAAACATATTACATATTATTTTTTAAGCTGTAATAAAAATAAATATTATCTTAAGATAACAGAGACCTTCAGATTCGAGGACAAGAACGACTAAGAGTTTGAGAAAGTTTTTTCGCGTATTCTAAAAAAAGACACCACAGACTCTTCATGTTACTTTCTTTTTTATTTTTTCACTGGAAAAGTTCGCACTGTTATCTTCATTGAAGCAGGTTAAGCCCTCTCCTGATCGCAAAATGATAAAACTTCTAACTTAAACGTCTCTATTGTTATTTGCTCGTCATAACACTAGCGTCTCTGTTTCATTACGAATGGGCATCAATCAAAACTTTATACAAAGTGAAACAGATCAAAAAAGAATCTTGCCTATGATTTTATAGTATACCCCGTAGCAATGTAATCGAGTTCAATTTCGTCGGTACGGTGAAACCTGTATTAAGCGGACCCAAACGCCTTGCATTGAGCGGGGACGAGTTTCAGTGAGTTCCACACTTTTCTTCTCCATTCTTCAGTGAAACAACGGTCACGTCAGGTCTACATATTATAACAGGACACTAGCAAGAATCCCTTGGGTGTCTGCAGATATATTAATACGTATATTTTTTTCTCTCGCACAATTATTTTGAGATTTTTGCAAATCCTCAGACAAGTTGGTAAAAGCGAACGTTGTCTAAAACTCATTGATATAGCAGGGAATTTGTTCGAATACACTGGTTGTTCCAGCTATGTCTAGAAATTACAAATTAACTTCGTCACAAGTTTGCTCAATCTGCCTCCTGATTTGGAGTCCTCATCGCTCTGACCGGTGTATACTGGTGTTACGGGACTGACGCATACAAAAAGCCAAGCAAACTTTGTGTTCTCAATCTTAATTAGCAGCTTGGGCTGGTAGCACCTCACGCTTCTCCCATTTTTTTAGCAGATGTTTTAATTTCCAACGTTTTGATATTCATACATAGTTTACTTAGTTAGAACCCTGATGACAGGGAGGCCACAAGACAATTTTTATTTAAAAATATATTATCTGATTTTGTTTGTGTGATATCATAACTGACTTAATAAAGCTAGAAACAAGGCCAAAGTGGAATTATTATTTTGGGGGGCCATATAAATATTTATACTCCCTAAGTAAAAAGCTTGTAATAACATTCTATCATCTTCTCTAGCAGCAGAAAACCTTCTTAGGGAATTGAACTTCTGTAATAGGATTCCTGTCAAATGTGCTGTCAGCATATTTTGTAGCTTCCTTTCTGCAGAGCCATTTACGTACTTCTTTTTAAAGAACCTATCCATGACAGCTGGACGTCCTGCTCATACAACATGTTTATGTGCAGCTCTAAATCTTCCACGCAGCGTAGGGTTGATTCGCACACACAACACGATGAGTTTACTATTACATGGAAATTCTTGCTCGTCCAAGGCCGGAGTTCGCCCGTTTAAGGCAGAGGCCGAACTTAAGTCCTTGGAACTATTGCTCATCCAGCTGCGACAATTTTTAGGGTACTTGTTACCATCTGAATACGATCCATGCCAAATGTTCTTCAAAGGCCTATAGAAAGTTACTTACAGTTTACCATTCAACCGTTAAGTTCCACCTAAAGTTCCGGAAGTGATAAGGTTAACGACTTCCAGTATTGGCCGCCTTAAATTTCGGGATCATGAAGTTAATGTTTATCTCATCAAGTGATAAGCCCCTGAAAATGTTGTTATTTCAGCCAGTTACACAAGCGACTGGCGGAAGAAACAAACGGAGTAATCCAACAGGAGTCCAACCTTCTAGTCAACTAGAGCACCTGGACTAGTAACTAGCGTAGAGTAACCCAATACCTCCCAAGAACCTCTAATTTAAGTGGTCGTCTAAAACAATATTGGCTTTTGTGTTGAGGGTTAGAGTTATTGTTTGTGTGGTTATCCTATTGTTTTCACAACCAATTGTGTGAGCCGTTCAGTGAGGTGCTGTTTGTGCCTAAATAGAAGGACACAGGTTCGACTCCTGTTCGGAATACTCAGATTTTTTCTTCCAAGCCGCCTGTGTCACTGACTAAAAAACACTTTTTTCAGGGGTATATTACTTCTGTAGAGGCACTGCTTGAGGCGAATATTATATACAGTGAAACTTACCACATTGAACTTTCCAGGACGTTGGTTCCATTGAATGAGTAGATGGGTATATCAGGATTGAACGCATAACGTGATGTAAAGATCGAGTCCCATGATGGAAACAGCTGATCTCCCTGAAAGACGAGAGAAAACGACTCAGTTTAACTATTTGAATACCTCCAGGTGGACACTCCAATAAAAAAAGAGCAGTTAATCTTTTCTTCTCAGAGGCTCGTCGTACCCTTAAGGACGTGAGTACTTGGACTGGAAATGTTTAGGGTGATAACACCTACAATTAATTAATGGCCGCCAGCTTAATATCAATTGGTCTTCTACATAGAGGCCCTTGGGCCTTATTTCTGTGTTTCTTAGAAACTCCTTTGATTGATTTTATCCTCTGTCACTTGAAACTCTACTCTGCTGTGATTGGTTGAGTTTTTGTAAGGGAGAAAAATGAATCTATAAATTGCCTGAAAAAATCTACCAAGTTGAGACCCAGGCGTCTTTCTTATACAGGACATGGCTTTTCTCGGTCCAACGCAGTCAAACGTCTAAGGCGTCTCTCTGTTATATTTAATGGCATTTTATTTCCCATTCCAGGGGGCAAGGATATATAAAAAATGAGTAAACGTAACTTTTTTTTCCATTTTTCTAAAAATATTGAACTTCTTTTCGCTGAAAGCCTTTTTGCCCGAGTAAAAAGTATGCTGAAAAATGGTGCGACGATAACATCAGTTTTAAACTGTCAAACTTAAGTAACTTTTCAAAAAGTTTAGAAATTAAAAAAAATACTGATAATATCTAAAACTTTCAACAGTAATAGTAGCGACCTTAGCTTTGACGTATTCTGTAAAGGTTGTGCAAATTCCTCTCGTTTGAAGAACGCCGCAGTGAATGCTCACGGGTAATAAGAAACTACTGTTCCCGAAAAAGCTGAAAGGTAAAAGTCTTCCAAGAAAGACTATCCCCATATCAAAAGAGTTGTTATCAACTATTACCTGAAGATTTCCAACAGGAAGACTTCTGTCCTGTCGATGGATGATGGAATATAAATGTTGGAACCTGTTGGAGATGAATGCTCTATATTTCCCAGTAAGGTTTTGCTCACGTGACTGCTGCCAACAATGTTCATCGGCACCTCTGACGCTGAGCATTCTGCCATTCATCGGTTCGTTGAGGGCCACTAAACGTAGCTGTTAAACACAAAAGTCACTTTACATTGGGACGCCCTTTCAACAGGTTAATTATACGTCGTAGCAAACTGGGAACAAAATGAGAAGCGATAACTTTCACTTTCGCCGAGATGTGCTCGCTGAGCTTGTTCGCAGAAAAAGGGGAAGAACTTACGTGCCGCAGCCTTTACATAGCTGATGACTCTCCACGGTCTATTGACCGTGCAATAGACCGCAGAGGCCACCCAGAGAATTGCTTGTCGCAACGCCGCTTCCTAGCTGTTATCTACTGATAAGCTTATCTTTGGTCCCAACATAAATTCCAATACGTTCCTTCCAATACATAATGTTGGCCTTTGGAAAAATCCGAAATAGTATAGTGCAGTTCAATGAAAATACATTCCCTTTGCTTCCATAAATATGAATTAAGGAATAGGCGCAGTTCGGACCTGAATCCAGACTGACAGGAATCGTTTCTAGCTTAACCTCCGTACATGTGGAACAAAGAAAGAAATCCACGGGAAATCGATATTTGGTTCGAGTTAGCGCAAGATTCGAGTTAGCGAGGGTTCGAGTTATTGGGAGTTGACTGTAAAAGTCTTTCTTAGTAACGAATAAAAAAATTCTTTCACATTTGATGTCCATTCCGTTTACTTACGTATTGTCCTGTTAGCTTGATGTTGGATGGAGGAAGACTGACTCCCGAAGGCGTCTACAAGATATGAAACACGCCTCTCGTTAATGGGACTGGTAATCTTCAAATCGGTTTCAGTTCAATTACATCACTTATTAGTTTAAGTTTTTAGTTGGGAAAGCAAATTCATGCAACTTTTTTAGATAATCTTGAGACATGAACGCAATTAAATTCTACCTGCGTAGTGGTAAGTCTTGTTGTTTTGGAAGCTTCTGTAGGAGCCGCAAACAAGGTTGGACCAAGCTGTAAAAAAGACATTATTGAGTTAACTGGGAAGAGCAACTTTTCGTTAATGTGCAGTCTTCAAAGCAGCCCCAAGCTATGCGAACGTTTTACCCTAGAGAGTAAAAGAGGGTGCTATGGGAAAATTATTAAATCGTAAGTCCATCCGGTTTGACGAGATAAGCGTGGCAGTGCAGGTTTCTTGTGACTCCCAAATCACATTTTGGTATTGGGTATTATGTTATCTCTGGCCGATACCGGTGACTGATTTGTTTAAGGCTGACATGTAACGTTTTTTCACACCTCCATCTAACACTTGATGACCACACATCCTGCAGTCATACTGCATATTTGTCGGGGTACACTACAGTTTCTTTACTACAAACCCTGGTTCATGAAACAAAAATTCGTTCCTAAAATGCTTCCTCCTGTAAATCTCTACAAAAGAAGTGATTACAAAGTTGAAGTCATCAATAAAAGTATCTCAAGCATTTTTTGTCCATGCTTGTAGGTTTCATGATATTCGTACAAGAAATTATTAACGCAGAATGTTCAAAACAAAACAACAAATTTAAAGGTATGGTTTCTTCAATGCGCTTTTTTTAATGCCTTACCGTGATAGATCTCCAGCCTGGTGCGCTTCTGATGTACAGCATCTGATCCGATACAACAAATGCCAAAGTACCTACTTTGACCTCCTCAACTGCGTCGATTAGTGCTTCTTGTGTGTCAAATACAACCACCTTCGATAAAACGTTAAATTTCAATAGACTGTAAAGAGATTTTCTGTCGTGTAAACGTCTTCATAGACCTTCTTAGCCTGTATGTTTTGTTTTCCCAATAGCCCATTTTACAGTTACAGGTGAAAGCGAGGTTAGGGCTGACCTTTTTTTGATACAATCCTTTTCGCTTTATTATGCAAAGTATGTTGTTGTTATGCTAACTAGTATTTTGTTAAGCATAATTTCTGTAAGAATAGGAGCGTGGTTTGTATCAAAACAGGTCAACCACAGCCTCACGTTCACTCAAAGGCTAGGATACTAAGCCTAAAACTGTAAAACGGCCTATTCAGACATGCCCTTTGTCTTTTCATAAATTATTCATACATATGCACGTGAAAGAAAGAAAGTATATTCTGGAGTACCATCACGTGGCCTGCAATGACAAAACAAAACATACAACCTGAAAAGGTCTGTTTTTTCACATGTTCCTACATTAACATGTTCCTACAGCGTTTTTTAGACAGGTGCCATAAGCGTCATTTTACCTCTCAATCGATCTCAAACAGTCAGCATCTTTAATCTTTTAGAACAGCAAGATAAATCCGCTTTCAAAAGAGCTATTGATAATCACATTCTAGGTGCGATCATTCCCAAAGATAAAGAATTAGTATATAATTTGCGTAGGAGAAGGTGTCACCTTCCTCAGATAAAGACGGAGAGATACAAGAAAACTTTTGTAAATAGACTTATTTTTAAACATAATTTAGGATAGTATTATTCTATCTTATATTACTATCGTATTTTGTCGTGTATCTTTTAATACTTTTTCACTGTAACTTACGATATGTATTTTTATCCTTTGATTGAATTAAGACTATTATTATTATTATTATTATTATTATTATTATTATTAACGTGGCGATTTCGATTCTATGACTATACTCCCCAGTGTCACCGTCTAATGTAAGTTGTTACTTGATTTTAACTAAAAATATTTTAAAACGATACCCAAACATACCCACAGATATTACTACTTTCAGTTTACTCTATGCAGAATGTTAAAAGAAAGCGGTCACATAGTTACCCCGGGAGATAGTGGGCTCATTTCAGCTTCATCTTTTGGTGGAGATATATGTCCAATGTCACCATTTTTCCACGGGGGCCCCGGTGGTCCGGGTGGTCCTGGAGGTCCAGGGACGTTGCTGTCTTTGCCAGGGGGGCCAGGAGGTCCAGGTGGTCCGCCTGGCGGCCCCGGTGGTCCCTAGAACGAAAATAAGTTCTTGAAATCATTTTACTCGTTCGTAGTTGTTATTTTCATCGTAGACAATAGACAACGCGATCGAAGCAAGCTAAAAGCAACGTTTCTCAACTTTTTGTAGTCACGCAAGTACGTCATGAAAATTAAATTACTGATGATCTTATTTTATGAAAAACTCACCGGGGGTCCCGGATCCCCAGGAGAACCAGGTTGCCCTTGTGGTCCCATAGGCCCTCTGCTTGATGAACCGGGTTCGCCCTGAAGGGTGACATGAGTACGGCTTTTAAAATACTTACTATTAACATAGGGAACCCACGCTCTTATTAGTAAACTGCAAATGGAAATTAAATAAGAGGTAAAATCTTACCTGTTTTGTTCTAATCTTGAATTTTTGCTGCGGTGCGAAGTGAAATGGACGCTTTGACCGTTGTTGATTTCACAATGCTTTATGTGGTTTGTCTCGCATTTTTCTGTTGGTGTCAAGCGGTTTTTATTATCGTCTTGCATTTCATTGTTGGTTATTAATTTGTTAACAATTCGAATTAACGGTAATGAATAGTGACAAGGGTTAAAACTCGATAGCTGCTCTCGTACGATCCCTGCCTCCAGTTGACTAGACCAGTTTACCAAGCAATGCCGCGCGAGGTAACATTCCACGATGACCATTCCGGTTAAAACGAAAACAACAAGGCAATGTCTGGATATTTATGCAATCTAACTTGAAATAATCTCAGAACTAAGTAAAAAAGCTCAAGAAAATCTCAGACGTCAAACGCGAAGTTAACTTCGCGTCCGGTCAAGTGGAGGCATTCATAGCTCGAAAAGTCAGCAATCAATTTCTGGTTATTTTGAATGCGAAAATTTTTATTTTTAATAGAAAAAAGTGACCCACTCTACATTTTATCCCTTAAAATGCTGTTGGAATGAATTTATTGAAAAAACTGCTCGTACTACTTGAGTACGGCTTAAAAAGTAAATCGGTCCTCAAATTAATTCCATCCCTTGTCTCTTTTCTCCCTCTCTCTCTCTCGAATTGATAATAAATTAATAACCAACAATGAAACGCAAGACGATAATAACGATCGCGTGACAAACCACATTGAGCATTGTGAAATCAACTACTGTCAAAGCGTCGACTTGAACATCGTTTTCGCATTGTAAAACAACTTTCATTTCACTTCGCACCGCAGCAGATTCAAGAATAGAACAAGACAGGTAAGATTTTATCTCTTTTTTAATTTCCATTTGCAGTTTACAAATAAGAGCGTGAGTTCCATATGCTATTAATGACATTATAAAAAATGGAAGCACCAAAAGTAATTTGATCTGTCTTTGCGATCAAATTATGGCCCCATTCATATCAAATCTTAAACACGTTTAAAAGTTGTTTAGTTAAAAACGGTTTAAAATTATACCTTTCATAAAATTGATAGCACATTTCGTGAAAATTACAAAACATGTTGAATTTTACTTGAATCCTCTGGAAAACCAGTGTTCTAGTTTTCCGTGTCCGTTTTTCTTTTTTTAAAACCTGATATAATTTTGATATACATGTTTAGTTGGTGTGAATAAGGAATATAATATTCCTGCTGAAGGACCACACAGGTAAAGTCAGAGGCATAAATCATAAAACCGTTCAGTTTCCACCAAGTGTGTCTTCACAAGCAGTGCAAATCACAGAAGGCATGTCCGAAAACCACCCATTGCTACGTGTTATCATTTATTTTTACAAAATTTTAAGTGAAAATAAAATCTGACACATCGGCTCTTTATTCTACCTTCGGTCCTTGTGGTCCCGTTTCTCCAGGATTTCCCTAAACACCAAGGGGAAAAAAAAAGAGCAAAAAAGACTTTTAAATGTAGTGTTTTAGCCTTTCAATAATTTGTGTTAAGCAATTGTCATTTTTGAACGGATAATAATACCATGTTGACTAGTCTGAATCTTGGATTTCCTCTCAATGGCAGCCAAAAGATACATATCAATTGCATATCATACATATCAATTACATATCAATTGCAATCAAACAATAATAATAAAAGTCGACTTCAACAGACGTTGGTTTTGACATTACATTACCGTCACCACTGTTTCAGACTTAAGGTTGGTTAAAAAAAATTATTACCTTGGCACCAGGCTCACCCTTCAGACCAGGAAAACCTATACCACCTTGTGCACCCTTATGAGAAGAAAAAAAAAAACAAATTAATCGTGACAATCAACTTGGTAGATAATTTAGAACGACTAGTTTCACTCAGGGCAGCCACTTTGGTGTAAAACTTTGGAATGAGATGCCTTGTCATATTAGAGATCTTCCTAAAAAGAAATTTAGGAAAGTACTTCACAGATTGCTTTCGGATATCTTAAAAAGAGAGGATGACTATATTGAGACGCCCTTAATAGTTGAAAAAGTTCGATTAATAGTTTAGTGATTTCTGTATTAAAGTATTTGTTTGTTTGCTTGTTCAGATTTAATGTAATTAAAATAAAACTGTGATAGAATATTATTTATTGTAACTTAAAATTGTAGTTTTCCTTCCTTTTTCCTTTCCTTTCTTTTCCTTTCAATTTATTTTTCTTTTAACTGGTCCGCCTAGATTAGCAATTGCTATTTTGCGGGTCAGTCTATTGTAACCAATAGTCTTATGAAATAAAGTTGAAGTTGAAGTTGACCTTTTAATGTTTGTTTTCCATGCTCTGAAGACTATGTTAGGCTGCCAATTCGCCACTTGTCCAAAAGCTATTAAAAGGCGTTAGAATTTTTTACGTTTTTAAGATAGGACAAGCACGTATGACTCATAACTGCATCACGCAGTCACATTAAGGCATACAACCATCTAACCCCCAAGTGAGTCTTTTGTAAAAGTAGAACATGGTACATTTCACCCTTGCTCGCCATCGAGCCTCCAGTAGCTCAGTAGTTAAAGAATCCGACTAGATCACGGCGGGTCGTGGGTTCAAATCCCATCTGGGGCTCGGATTTTTCCGAGTTTCCATTTGATGTAAAAAACGTACCATGTTCTACTATTAATATAAGAGGCTTGTAATATTATGACTCATCCCTACCTAGAACTCAAAATAGCATAAACCCACACTCTCTCTACCCTCGCTCGCCACCTTTACACTTATTGACCGCTTCCGAGAGAGGTTTTGAGGGAATGAACAAAATGTTCGCCACTTAATATGATCGGTTTAAGAGAAGCATTAGACCTACATTTTCTTCTGTTCTTCTAAGAAAGGTTTCTGAAAAACGTTTTCTGTCTTGAAATAGAATTAAAGGCATGGTTATCTCTACTGAAGTGATCCTTTAACAGACTTCAGTTTCAAATGAGGATATGATCGTCGCAGTAGTAATTGCAATTTAAGCAATTGCAAATTAACCAGAAAAAAATTTGGGGACTTCAACGTGATTCGAACCCGTGGTTTCTGGGTTAGCGCTGCGGTACTCTACTCAATGAGCTATGAAGATCCATACATTGGGGGCAGGCCAAGTTGTGGCGTTTATCTTTAACCTGTGAATGGAATGAAACTTTGATCGAAGGTGGGAAAGAAACCCTGGGAGGGCCGCGTTTATGAGCATGAATTACAGGCGGGTTACCTACAAATTTCATTTAATACCACGACAGAATAAGGGAGTGTCCCAAAACCTTTTGGCTAGGATTGTAGGACAGCTAAATCGAGTACTAGAAAATATATCATCCCAATAACAGGGCTGTCTAACCTCCTTAATTGACCACTACAGAAAAATACCAAAACATACCATAATGCTCTTTGTTTGTCACCCCATAATTTTGCATAAGCATTGTCTTCAGTTTCTCTTGGGAGTTAAAATGCCCTAAAGGGAAACTGAAAACAATGCTTATGCAAAATTGTAGGATGACAACAAAGAGCATTATGGTATGTTATGGTATTTTCTGGAGTGGTCAATTGGTGTGGATACAAAGCAAGGTGTCCGTATTGAGAGAGCTGTTTGAATTTGACAGGGCGGACGCACCTTTGCAATGAGAACTGCTAAGGACTGGAATAACTTACCCCGAACCGTAAGAACTAAGAAGACTTTGAAATCCTTCAAGTCAGAGCTATGGAAAGTACTATTAAATTCCCAAAAGATTAATGGATCTTTTGAAATTAATTAATGCCATCACTTCGCTCTTATGAGTATTAATCCTCACTGTCCTTAATTTTTAACTATTTTTGTCGTTAGTAGAATACTGGTATTATTTATTGTAAATAGTAACCTATCGCTAGTTTTTACTTCATTTCATTGTGTTTTTTAATTTATTTTTAGAGGGCCACAAGTTTATCAGTAACTTTAATTACTGTCACGTGTAACCTTCGCTTATCTTATCTTACAGGTATAGATTGTAACTTTGGTATCTTTGAGAGAGGATTCACGGCACTATAAAAGAAACACTCATGCGAACAATTTGATCACCAGTTCTTTGAACTAACCTGGCTACCATCAACTCCATCCACACCATCCTTGCCAGGATCTCCAGTTTGTCCTTGTGCCCCTTTCTCTCCTGGGTCTCCTTTATCCCCCTTTTGTCCTTCTGGCCCATACTCTCCAGGGAACCCAGGTGGTCCTGCTGGCCCTTCAGGTCCCTGCATACCCTCAATACCCTGGGTACCTGGTAAACCCTGGGAGCCGGGATCTCCTTTGGCTCCTTTATTCCCACTCTCTCCTTCCTCGCCCTAAACGAACGGTGGATTTTAATTTTTCAGGGAAAGGAGAAAAAAGAGCGCGTGATACATGTACTCCACCAGTCGTCTGCCGCCCCCTAATTTAGCGTCTGTCAGCATTTGTGTTATCGTGTCAGATCTTACCAGAAACTCAAGCGGTTCCACTGTCGCGTAATTTTTCCGTGCGTACTCACGTATATTTCACGTACGTAGATAAAATAGTAGTAATGTATGAATTGCCGCGTGTAAACGTAGAAGTTGAGCGAGGTTCAACTTTTACGATTACGCGCTGCCTTTCTTACATTGCCTCTATTTTATTTACGCGCGTACGTACGTAAAAATAACGCGACAGTGGAAATCCACCCTAATAAACATTTTATTCCTTTCAAAGGTGGTTGAGTTATACCACATTTGTTATCCTTATCCTGGTATAAGGCATCTCTAGAGAAGAAAGTCTGCGATAAGGGTCACGCGGATAAGAAGTTCTAATTTAATAACGTAAACAAGTAAATGCGATCAAAAAGATCATCGCAGTTAAAGACACAACTTTTGCAGTTGCGAAAAGAAGACCTGAAAAATTTCAGGCTTGTAAGGGTGCAGCGCTGTACCAATTGAGCTAATAAGCAAACTACATGTATAACCCCTCAAGGGATGAAGATGAAGTAATGAATATAAGAGATCTAGCATTTCAAAAATATGAATTCCATATATAAATTGTTTTAGCGTGATCTATATATAAAACATAACCAATGTGATTTGCGCTTGCATATTTAAGGGAAACTTTGGCAATCATACTGATAAAATGCAAGGGCAAACATTCGAGACTCCCATTTTTACCATGAAATTTTTGCAAAACCTTTTAAGATCAATTGGCTATTCTTACCTTCACACCTGGCAAACCGGGATCTCCTTTTTCACCCTACATAGGGAAAAAAAAAGTCAAATGCAAAGTATATAATATCGGTTACAGCAAGCAGCATGTATCTTTTTTGATCCATGTAAAATTTTGAACGTTTAAGATTCGAAATTACTTGTCCTTATTTCCTCTCCGCGTCGCAGTTATACGTTTTGATCTGTGGTTCAACTGAATAAAAATGGTCGAGGAAGTTTTTCATTCATCTTTCGCCCACGTTTCCAATTCAACGCGTGTCTACGCGTTAAAACTATTATGGTGGTCTAAGAAACAGGCTAGCTTGCCTCTAAACTAAGGATGTCTATCTGCTTTACAATGAGCCATGAAATGAAACAATTAGAGTTTAAAAGGGTTGTACAGATCAACTACCTTTCTTCGAGGACGTTAGTGAATGGCAACTTGATTGAGTGTGAAAAAGTCACTGCGAAAAAAGGAATTGCTGGCAGACTCTTAACTCATAGCCAATAATAAACGGTGTTTTCCTTACCTTCTCGCTAAATCCTTGCTCTCCCTTAAAGTAAAAAAGAATATATGTGATTGAGAAGATTTAGCTTTCCTTTCACATTGGGACGAGGAATATGAATAATAACAAGTAAAATAATCATTTTGTGGCATACGCAACGCCTTTGAAATTTCTTTACACATGAAAGGCAAAAGGACAAGAAGCGAAATTTCTCTCCTTTATCGTTGTTTTTTTTAAATTTACTCTTTTATTTGACGCGAAGGATATCTCTTCACCATGGTCTTCCTTAAATAAAACCGTATATTTAATGCATATTTTTGGTGCATAACTGAAAAAAAAAACAGTTTAGTTCTGTTTACTCTGACATATTACTGTTGCATAGAGAAAACCAACGTTAAGGTAGATCTAAACAACGGCGCTCTGCAGAAAAAAAAATTACTTAAGTTTTCATACAAATGGCATAGAAAGCAGTCGTCACCTTTTCCCCTGGGAATCCGGGTGGGCCAGGAGGCCCGGGTTGACCAGGAGTTCCTGCACTGCCCTTAAGTCCTTGCAAACCAGGAGGTCCATCGGGGCCAATTTCTCCAGGAATGCCAGGAGGGCCCATAGGTCCTTGAGGTCCAGTTGCTCCATCGACTCCATCTTCTCCCTAAAAAACGCACCTAACTTTAAAACGCTCTTACTAACCATCTGCACAATCAAACAAAATTTAAAGAAAAGACGTTTCGAGCCATTCTGCTTGGCAAGCTTGAGAGGGTCTGGGATTTAAGGATAGATCCTTTTTCTCCAATTTAAAGTCATGATCAATGTTCATGTATGAAACACTTCAGATGTTGGGCCCCTGGAAACTCAACCGATCCTCTCCTAGACTACGAGCAGTCTCTCCGTTTTTCTTAGTCCGTTGAGCGATACGCGCGAGATAAAAAACTAATTAACTAATTGCAGTAAACGAAATACTGACAAGAAATACAACCACATTTTGCGATGGAATTCCACTGAAGTTATTCTGTCTATTACTACTTCTACTAATCTCAAAGCCAATAAATAATAAGCCAGATAATGAATATTTTCCTTTTGGGTTTGTCTTAGCGAATTTACAGCGTGAAGTACCTTAGCTCCCGGCTCTCCTTTTAATCCTTGAAGCCCTCGTTTTCCACTTGGTCCGGTGGGTCCCTCCTCGCCTGTTTCACCTTTAACACCCTTCGTTCCTGTAGTTCCCTGCAAAAACGATTTATATTTATTTCTCTTTAGTAACATTTAATTGGTTGCGTATCTAAGGGCGGATGCTTAATGAAAGGATCGAAGGAAAAAAATGGGTAAAAATGGCAAGGATAAGATAATTGAGAACAATCTTTATTGTCAAATGACTTCAAATAACCCAATCTTGTACTGTGCACTTAAACAAACGAGAAGATTGATGCTTTATAACAAGGATGGGAAATAACGGAATCTTACGTTATCCCCTTTAATTCCTGGAGGACCGCGATCACCCTGTAAGAAAAAATAAGAAACAATAATTAAAGAAAAGGCAAGTTGTTTTCTTGTCACAGAGTAGCTCAAATGATATTTAACTGACATACCTTGTCCCCTTTCTGTGTATTGACCTGTGCTGCCGACTCTGTATCACCACCAACCTCCTACAAAAAACAACATACAAAGTACAGAATCCCTACTATCAAACAAAAGGGTATTTACTAGGTTATAAAACAATTCTTTGATATATCACTTGGAAAAAAAAAGTTTACAAACCGTTATTCCTCCAGGCGGACCTGGGGGCCCGGGTGGTCCTGGGATACCTTCACCTTGTTCGCCCTGACAATAGATAATGAGCACTAGATTAAAAATATTATAAATATATAGGAATGCACGGCTTTTGGTGGTTGTCCGTTGTTCTCGGGCCGTGTTACTGGATAACAGTTGGCTGCATACAATAGAGGACTATTAACCACTCGTGTATATCACATACCGCATGGGATCCTAATGCAGGTAAATCATGGCCAAAAGAAAAATCAATCTTTTTATTAACTGCCTAAGGACGAGGCTGAGATAATTAATCGACCGCACTCCACCCTCAGATAAAGGTTTGGTAATTAAAGAACATTTCTTCGCTTGAGAAGATAAACATGTACTTGCGAATTTTACTCAAGTTATTTTTCTATTTTTCTCTCGACCTGACAAAGTAAGGATTTGTGGGGCACAAATAATTATAAATCTCACCTTTCGCCCGTCCGATCCTTTTTCTCCGGCATCGCCCTATAAATGAAATTTAAGACTAAGCAAGACAGTAATGACATAGTGAACAGGTACTCTAGAAGGCTGTGAAGTCTAGTTTCCACAACGAAATTAAACGATACAATGGACTGAATTTCGGAGTCATCCGCCCCAATCCTTCTGATGCCCTACCTTCGTTAATGAATGGCTTTGCTGATCTGTATTTATCTATATTATAGCTGCTAGGTTGGTCTTTGCTTCAGGATAAGAAAGATTGATGTAAAGGTTCCAGAGAACTCATTGCTTTTAATATAAAAAAAATTACCTTTGTGCCCTTTGTTCCTTTGCGGCCAGGAAATCCAGTGCTTCCAGAGACTCCCTAAGAAAAAAAATTAGATTTAGTAAAACAACGTAAAAGTGCTGCCTGTTCATAATTAAGTCAATTTCAATTAAGTTTTTCTCGCCATACGGTACTTATTTTATCAGTCATAGAGTTATTTTGCAAATGATATCATATACACTAATAGGGTTTTGAATAAACGTAAATAATGCAATCAAACGGCACGTAATGGACACTCATTAGGAACACTTGATCGGGTGATCGAATGGATTGTTTCTAACTGATAGAACCAGTCGATTTGGCGTACTTGGTGCATGCTGTCAGGTTTACTTGCAAGCTCTTATAGTAGCGGTAAAATGTCTCCCAAAGGATACCTGCTCTCCTTTGGATCCCATTTCACCTTTCTGTCCTACAGGTCCAGCAGGCCCTTGCTCCCCCTAGAACAGAAAAGAATGAACAATTAGGTCGCTTTTAATCTTGCCCATCTCTTTTTAAACAATCAGACACATGGTCTCGCTATTGTGTCTCCCGGTCACAAAGGCAAAATACATTCGTCTTGTAAAGAAATAACTGGCCCACGTACTTCACAAATAAACATTCTATGTACCACAGATAATGTAATTTTATATCGAGCCATTTTCTTGGCTATTTCCATTTTATATCTCAAGTTGTCTGGGTGGAGCTGAAAATGACATATCTCCAAGGAGTTTCGCCAGCCAATCAAATTAAAGTGGGCAGGATATTACCGTCCCTGTTTAATATACGTGCACTATGATTTCGACCTCCTTACCACTAGATGAAATGATCATTAGGAAGATCATCATAATAAGCATTCCAGGATTCTTCCGATTCCACGGCAGCTTCTCATTGAAGATTAAGATCAAACAGACAAGGAATGTCCTTGTTGCCAATATGACCTTGAACGCACTTACCTGACCCACAGGACCTTCCGCTCCTTTTTCGCCTTTCCGACCAGGAAATCCTGCTTGTCCTTGATTTCCAGGGATACCCTAAAATTATAATGAATTATAAAAAAATTCTTTTTGTCAATGTTTAGACATCGAATGACAAGCACAGTCAATGGCCCGTTACAAAATTAACTCAGCATTAACAACTTTCTTATCTATTCTAGTGTTGTTTGTAGGGCACTGAAAAAGAAATTTTCTTAGATAATTTGAAAAGATTTGTTAATTTGCTCTGATCTTAAGGAGAACTAGACCATTTGCAATTTTCGCCAAAAGTGTTCTTTCAGAAAACGGCAAAAGAGCCGACAAGGTAGTTATTCAGTTAGTCAATACCCAGCTGTTGTGAGATAAAGTCCCTTTTTGAATACATTTTAGTTTTGTTTTAAATAGAGAAAGCTTTGTGGGGAATTTTTGAAAACGATGATCAACGAAAGTTACACACTCTTCGTCCTGGAAAACCAACTTCTCCTGAGTCGCCTTTGTCTCCCTGCATGTTTGAAACAAATTATTGTCCACTAATGATCGTATTATCCATCTTTTAAGATAAATGAATACTAAATTACAAATAAATATATGGTAGTGGAATAATATTATGAAAAACATGGAGAAAAAGCATAAAGAAAGCTCTGTATCGATTTTGAGGAACATTCCACTCCCCTGCAAGTAAGAAGTGTCCTTCAGTAGTAGGATAAACTAACACTTTAATGCCAAAATTATTATGAACATCTACATGAATAAAGTAAATTTGACATCGCAAGGGAATTCAAAGGCTGGTGTTTCCATTGCCTGCTGTACAGGCGTATTTTGGGTGATCGAAAGCTGCCTGTTCATGTTCGTATTGTTGTAGCCACATCTTTGATTTTATGACAGAGGAAAATTGGGGAGAGTAGAAATAGAAAACCTAGATGCTAGGGTAGATGCTAGGGCGAAAGTAGGAAAGGGGGGAGGGGGAGGGGAGAAAAAATACGCCTGCCCGATATCATTGCGTACGCTGGCAAACGGAGCTCCTGATTGGGGCGGCTTAAGGGAAGTAGATTGATGCCTGTCAATCAACCGTAAGTCTATATTGTTTATTCCGTTTTCGTTTGCTCCCTGCTGCGGGAAAGAATTATTCTGAGTTCAGAAATGGCGGACGGAAATTCGAATATTTACTCTGCTCTCGAAGAAAGTCTTTTGGAATTAAAGCGGCTGGGCTGGGAATAGAATACGTTTGCGGCTCTTAACCGGGTTACTTACCGTGGATGAACTGCGGCTTTAATGAATTGGTAAAACTGGTCCTAGTTGCGTTGCGAATTTTCCAGACAAATGGGTTACAGACCCGATCAGAATACTGCATGGAATCTTGAACTAACGGCAATCCAACTTCTTTCCAAATTTCGGCTAACAAAACCCCGAAACACTCCTTTCGTTTTGATGCCCTGAAAAGATTTTCTGAACAAGGATGGCCTTGTTTTCCAAGATTGCTTCCAAATTTAACTTTCAACGCAATCTTACCTAACCTACAATAATACTGAGAATCGAATCAGACGACATTACCCTCCTTCCCATAAACAACGCATGCTAGCAGCTTGCAGAATGTACACTGCACATGTGTTTCAGTTTATTTTATCAGAAGTGAAGGGACCTTCTGGTGCAACAGTTCTTCGGTTTTGATTTGTCAGCTACTCACTTTCGGAAGGGCGGTCAAGCGGTACTAATTAGGGGGTGTTTCTCATTTTCACGGTGTTTTTGGGCAGGCGTTTTCTCTTCTTTCTCCCCGCCCCCTTTGACTCGCTCCATTTCCTCCTCTCTTTTGAAATTTCAACATGGCGCTTTCGCGAGCAAAAACATTTGCCCGCCCGAAGAAAACGCGTGCACTGCAGGCTAGTGTATCGAGCACTCGCCCTACTAAACTGATTCACCATCATTCTAACAAAACATGGTCATTTTCGCCAAACAAAAGTTATTGTTTGGTAAATGTTTTGGGAACAACTGTCGTAAACAGTTAACGCACCTTAGGTCCAGCTTGGCCTTTAGCACCTTTATAACCCTTCTCGCCCTGTTAAATAACAGAGAAGTTCAGAGCTGGTCAACAAATGCTCACTGTCAACAAAACTACTCGTTTAAACAATAGAGTCGTCATTCAAGGATTGAAAAATAAGAAATACAAAGCGTGACGGCGGCCATTTTGGTATTCCAAAACAATGAAACAGTGGCCATGTTGGTGTTCCAAACAAATCCTGCGTGAGTTGAACTCTTTTCTTACGTAAACAATTTGTTTTGTTCCCATACATTTGAATAGATACTGGCCATGTGAGTGAAAACGCTCTATAAGAATTTCAACGACTTCTTTAGCCCCGACATAGAATATAATTATTTAAAAATCACCTAAAGCAACTGAGAGACTTTCGTTGGGCTGAAAAACAACACTTTCAGTTCCGTGCTCACGATTTTGGGATTAATATGCCGACACAAAAGTTAACACCAAAATAACAAATACAGTCAAACCTCGCCTTACGGACACCCGCTTAATACGGACAACGGACACTTGTTTCTTGTCCAATCAACAGATTCTCATAGATAGTCAACCTTGCTAATGCGGACACTTCATTATCAACTGTGTGCTGTAATATATCTTTCCTTTTTGAAGGTGAAAAAGAAAAACCTTCAGTTGACATCATGTCGATGTTGCCAGCGCTACCGTACACCGGATAGGATGATTTGCACACGTCACTTTCAGACTATTTTGGCATCAAACGATCATGCAGAGAAGGGTTTTGATTGAGTAATTCATAGAGGAGTGATTTTTGAGTGTTTCCGTGGTTTAAGTGTGCGGAATGACGGCTTTGTGAAGGCGAGAGATGTTTAATTGATGATGCTAAAGCGCTCTTTTATTTCTTTAGTATTTTGTTCTAATAAAAGGTGGTTTTTGACTTAAATAACAAAACCCGCTTAATATACGGACACCCCGTTAATACAAACACGTTCTATAAATGGCTCCTTCAGTGTCCGTATTTACGGGGTTTGACTGTACCACAGGGAGTAACCTCTCATTAGCTTGTACTACAATGGTCTCATTCACAGACTCACAACCACCCTGCACAGTGTCATAAACAGCATAACAGGAAAGTACTGTCTAATAGTTCTCATTTGAATGCTTATATTATAAGATTTCATCCACAGAAGAATTCAAAAGTTAGAAGGCACCTTGTACAACGTAATAAACATTACAACAGAAAGGCGGCTTTTTGGAAATGACTAAACCACTTTACTTGTCGTTACGTTCTTTATGTAATATACCTTAAATTATTTGGACTTTTCACTTGGTGGTGATGCAGCCCTACCTTTTCAGGTTCTGAGATGAGTAGTCGACCCGGTTGTCCTGGAGGTCCTTGAGGTCCAGTCTCTCCCGGCGGACCAGGTTCGCCTATAAGACTGATGCCTTGCTCACCCTAAAAATGTGACCAAAATGTACAAGTTAAAAAAGGCAACTGAGGTTAAAATTACTCAATGTCAATCTTAAAATCAAAGCTGTAACAAACTCTAGTGGGTAGAGTTGAAATTTGACACAAGTGGCGATTGAACCTCTCACACAAACGACCAGTAAACAAATAAGGAATTAGAATTTTTGAATAATGACCGCACCTGTGTGAAACTGGTTTTAAAGAGTTAATAACACTACCTTTCTTCCTAATTTTTAAGCATTATAATTTTGCAGCATGAATAGTTTTGTTTCTTCAGGAATGAAATATGCTTTTTATGAAATGCGGTGATATATTCCCTGAAAGCCTAATACTTTGTGGGGTTAATTACAGCTATGAGAATAATAAATGCCCCTCTCTGGTAAACGCCCTTATCTATCAAACGCCCCCGCTTGGGTTCCTAAAACCGGGCGTCTATTAATTCTTTTACAGTACCTACCTTTTCTCCTTTCTCTCCAGTTCCCCCTTTTAATCCCTGCCAAAAAATGGAATAAAATAACTGGCTACCAGAGCGTAAACAGCGCAATGGAGCTTTCAAATTTGGTGGCCTCAAACTCAGTGAAAACCGTGCTTGAAAAAAAAAACAGTTCCTTATGGCTGGCCTGTAGATAAGCAGGTTATGACGTGGAGATACTTTACACAGGATTCGTACACTTCCTCCCACTTTCAAGGACCACATTTCTAAATTTCAAGGACCTAATTTATTACACACGCTCTAAAATTAATAAACTATGAATATTTTACGATAAAATTGAGCTTCTGTTCTCAAGGGCAACCATTCTAATGAAAATTCGTTTGTGAGTCCTCAATGCCGATTTTATTCTGTTGACTTCAAACTGCCATTTACCAAAGTTTGTTTGAGGTTTGAACATGTTGCTAAATTGAAATTAAAGGACTTTCAAGGGCCAGCGGGTAGAATGAATGAAGAAGAATTTCAAGGCTTTAAAAGGACTCCAAAATTCAACGACTTTCAAAACGTTTCAAGACGCGTTCGAACCCTATACAAGATTTAACTTGGAATTCGTTGAAATAACCAGCGCTCATCGTATTGACCTCTAGGAAACAACTCTGTCAAGCTTGTAAATTTCTTTTTGAGAACGGTCCAGCTTTACCTTGATCCGGTTGAATTTCGAGGTCGAAACAGGCTACACAAATCCAGCTATTTTCTCGATCCTTCAGTGACACATGTACGTAATGGAATTATAAAAATTCGAGCCCGCTTACCGGTTTTCCCTCTTGGCCTTTTTATCCAGACAGACCTTGAGGTCCTTGGAATCCTATTTCACCCTACAGAAGTAATATGTCCAGCATGAGACGCAGTGTTTCAACACAAGATGAAACACCGAGAAGAGAGTTGAAAATACGACTCGCAGCGGAGTATTTTTGACGAACTTCAAGATGTTTCATCTGGTGATGAAACACTGTGTCGAATGCTTGATATTACTTCTCAAACAAAACAAAACGATTTTAGAAGGAGAAATTAAATGTGCAAAAATGCGCAGTTTTTCATATGATCTCCAAACACTCATTAAACATTAATTTTATTTCTCTTTTCTTTCTGAATTATTACTGAGTATGCAAATCGAGGGCAAGTGAAAAAAGCCGACCAAGACAAATATGGCGCCTAAACGTAGATAAGCATAAAGGGCGCTTAGGAGTTCATAACGAGGAACCAAATGTTCTCTAGACCAAGTAATGAAGAAACTATCAAATCACAGGCGCCTTTTTGCTGTTCATTCATGGCGGAGTAACTTTGCAAATTACAGTTTGGTGAATTAATTTAATCGAATGAAGGCATCTTGAAATCCACTTTGAACGTTGGCACGCTTTCAAGGCCAAACAGACAATCAGTGAATTTAATAGAAAATAAAATACAAAGCTTTATCAATCTCAATTTTCGAACAAGTACAGGTTAAGCGAAAAGTAATCGTCTACACATTAAACAGCGATAGTTAATGTCAGGGGATGTTCTCTGAATAAAATCTTATCTTTAAAACAAAAACCGTAAAAAATAGGTTAGTTCACATGCGAGACCTTTTTCATTTGCTCTTATTGGTTGGAATCTGTGCGTAATTGAAGGCCGCGCTTCTCAACGTTTTTAGATTTGGGCCGTTATTAGCATTGTTCGTCCTGTTAACCTTGTTGTTAAGGCCTGTGAACGACTAGTCTTCAAACATCATTTTGAGAGAAAAAAAATTACTTATTTTACCAACCTTCTGTCCAGCTATTCCTTTCTGTCCAGGAAACCCTACATTTCCCTGTTGACAATAAAAAATGCTAAGCCTGATGTACCTAACAGGGTGCCATCAGAATAAAGTAAGTGGATGGAGCAAACGTAACTTTCAGGCAAACCCCCTAATGCTTAATGCAAACCGCCTTACGCTTGCCCTTCCGGACCGGTGGTACATTAAAAGATTAGATTTCGATATCAGTTGTTACGCCCATTACGCTTTTGAGGTAACTATTAACCCCCTTTCCCCCATTCAAATGAAAACAAAAATTATATAACAAAATGAGCTTATTTTACAAAGACGATCTATGGACCTTTTCTCCCTTGGACCCAGGTTCTCCCGGTGGTCCAGGCTCCCCGTCTCTTCCTCGTTGTCCTCTTGGTCCAGGGTCTCCTTTTGTTATGTTGTTACCAGATGGTCCGGGTGGTCCTTGGGTTCCAGTAGGACCGCGTGGGCCCATTGGTCCAGTATCTCCTTTCGTCCCATTGAATCCTGCAACTCCTTTCTCACCTTTTCGGCCTAGAATGTTAAAAGTAACATCTTAGAAAATTAAACCTGTTTTACTCTCATTTATTTTTCAGAGTCAAAAACGTTACCCCATTCTATGGCTACTCTAGCACAAAATTTTAATCACAAACAAGGAATCGAAGTCTATATCATCAGTCACGCTTTATTTATTCATATGTTATAATTCACAAAGGTTTCCCATCACTGTCAATGTGAAAAAAAAACATAAGTAATAAATAAATAGTAAGAGACAATGATGTATAAAATGAATGATATACTAAATCAATGAGAGAGATTAAAATAATTAGTAGATGGTAGTAGGTCGTGCAATTTTGTGTCTCAGTTCTAGTGAATGCCACTTCAAATCGTTCAGCGTCGGGTTGCACAAAATATCGTAAGATGAAGGGAACTCGTAAATATTATTTCAAAACAATAGGTTATTGTTCCAGAACAAAAGTTAAGAGCTCTCTTATCTTAAGAAGGTTGTATGCAACCTGGCCCAGCAGATTAGTGACTGTACCGGGTTCCAGCTCGTAGAAGTTTTTTACAAATCTGGCGGCTGGCCGCTGTACTCCTTCTTTATCGTGGCAATGCTTTTGAGTATGCGGGTGCCACACATTGCAGGTGTATTCCAGACAAGGACGAACGAGGGTGATGTAGGCCTGACTTTTAACATTCTCTGGACAGGAATGAAGATTACGTGTAATGAAACCAAGGGACCGGTTAGCCTTCCCTTTAATGTTTTCTATATGAAAGCTCCAATTCAAATTGGAGGACAGCTCAACTCCCAAGAAAGGACGATGAGATACGGAGTCCAAAGGAGTTCCATTCATTGTATACTGATGAATGATTGGGTTTCTCGACCGATAAACCCTCAGGACCTTACATTTGTCACAACTGAGGGACATTTGCCATAATTTGGTCCAGGTCACTAGGCTGTCAAGGTCTTATGCTGCAATGTATTGGTGTCATCTTTGCTGCTCACGGTTGCAGTATAAGAACGTGTTGTCGGCAAAAAGTCGAATGTGAGATTCTATATTACACCTATATCGTTAATGTAGATGAAGGACATTAAGGGGCCAAGCACAGTGCCCTGCGGGATGCCAGACATAACTGATACAGACGCAGTGTCATTACCTCTTGCACTGTGACTCTCGAATTGGTGTTTCATTAGCGTACCATCATTTTTAGTCTTTAAACTCCACAAACCTGCAGGTTCGCCTTTCTGTCCTTTGACTCCTTCTTCTCCTTTATCTCCTTTAGAATTTGGGTTTTGTGGCTCTCCACTGAGATTAGCTGGATAACTAACATTTCCTGGTAGACCTGGAGGCCCAGGAAGACCGGGCAAACCTCGGTCTCCTTTCTCGCCTTTAAATATCACGTCCGTCATGGATTCATTCCCCATCACTCCTGGTGGACCAGGAGTTCCCGGTGGTCCAACAATACTCTCACCCTTTTCGCCCTGACGATCGTAGATGGTAATTATTACAAAAAAGAAGACAAAGATTTTTATGAGCAAAGTCAACATTACTAAAAAAAGAACTGGTATATCATAGAATAAAGCTTTTGAAAGGCTTTTATAATTTAAGGACATACAGTCAGACCTCGTTAATATGGATCCTGAGAGGGCCGTAGAAAGTGTCCGTGTTAACGGGGTGTCCGTATTAAGCGCCTAGAGAAAATTTAAGTGCTTACTTCCCCCAGGGACAAAGCAAACTGTCCGCAATAAGCAGGTGTCCATAAAGCAAGGTTTGACTGTAGTGTTATTTACTCTCTTTGCAAACTTACTTGATCAACTTGATAAGTTTAAACATAGAAGACAGACATTAGTTATAATGTAATTAACTGAAAAACCTTTGGTTTTTTATTGTGGAATAGTTACTTTAGGTCACCTTATTTCCTCTTGGTCCAGGGGGTCCCATATCTCCCTACGAAACAATTTCAATCGGTTTCATTACTAGTGATAGACATCAAATAAGTGAAAGGTAAATAGGGCAGTATTTACTATTACCGCATCTTGATCAGATAAACGTTCAGCTAAAGAAGAAAATAGCAGTTGCTGAGGTACGCATGCGTTTGATACACTATAAAAAAACCCTACAAATGTTTTACTGTATTGTATTTAAGACAACTGCACAGGCTTAATACTTGATGATAACGTTTCCTACACAAAAAGTTATTTGGGACTTTGCTTGCACTGAAACAAGTGAAATTAATGCTACATTAAGAGTGCATATAACCTGCTTTCGTTTATTGTACGAAAACGGACGAGACTGAAGAGTAACTGACCATGTGGGATATATCAAAACGAGTAGGAGTCTTTCACTAAGCGTTACAGTCTCTAAAAAATAAGATAACTCAAGACAATTATCTATAAAAACATTTTGCCTCTTCATGGTGCCAGCGCTACCAGTAGTTTTAGTGACAGTGGTAGTGACGTAAAGTGATAGTAGAAGTATAGTGGTAGCACAGTATGATGGTTTACCATCGGTCCATCCTCGCCTTTTTGACCAGGAATTCCTTGCTCACCAATTTCTCCCTGATGATTAGAGATAAAAGAGCCAAAAGAAAACAGTGAGATAAAAATATCATTAAAATAGACAAAAAAGATACGAGATGAAACAGTACTACTTACAAACCTTGTCACCTGTTGCTCCAGGTTCGCCATCTTTCCCTGGAGTTCCTCTAGGCCCGGGAGTTCCCTACAAAAAGAGAAAAAATGCTTTAAACTGTTGAACTGTTTAAGGTCTATTTTATTGTACTCCCTTGCGAATGAAAAAAATCAGTATAACCAGTACAGTGTACGCGTTTATGCAGCTGCGTGTGCAGGATATTTATCAAAAAACAAATGCAAACTCACCACACCCTCTGCTCCCTTCATTCCTGGCATGCCTTCCTTACCAGGTGCACCTGGCAGTCCAATAGGCCCCGTGTCACCCTGGAATATTAAACCGAGATCGTTAATAAAAGTAGAGTTGACAGAAATGTAGAACTAACGAAGTGAAGCTTACATATAAAAATTAACGATGAATTTTCTATAGGCCAGATAACTGGGCCTTACTTACATCTGGGAAAGTTCTCAACAAAGAAAGAGAAAATGGAAAGACAGTATGGTGAATAGTTACGCTACAATTATGGTTTCCTGCCTGTGACATAAAAATATCCAGAATAAGTGATATGCAGCCAATAAGAGTCTCATAACATTCTCCACCTTTTGCCCGGGAAGGCCAATCAAGCCACGTTGTCCTTTTCGACCAGGTTCTCCCTGCAAAAACGAAAAGAAAGATAACACATACGATAAGGCATCAAGTAAGGGACAACTGCCTCTCATATGATAAAAAATTGTGCATACCGTTTGTCCCTCTGTGCCATTAACTCCTGGTTCACCTTTGTCACCTTTTGGGGAATCGACAGGCTAAAAGGAAAAAACATATAAATAATACACCTTATAACTAACCTATCAAAAGAACAACCTTAAACACTTTCTTTCATGCCCTTCGATGTTCTTGAATGACAATAACCTACATCGCTCGAAGAAGTCATCATTTGTAAAGAGTAGGTTCTGTAGGATTATCAAGTAATGAAAGAGAAAACTCATATAGCTTTTTTTCGGCTTCATCCTGACACTCATCCACCCCCTGACTAAATAGAACCGTACCCAGTCATTCACAGCTAGACAGCTGTGCAAGCGCACGCTATAAACATGTAAACATATCTATTATTTATTCAAAATATTTCTCCGTCCCTAATTAGCTTATATCCACCAGATATGCTACAAAACCGGCTATAGCGAGCGCTGACAATATATGGAATAGGACGGTTTTTTTCCTCATAAACTTACCAATCCAGTTTTTGGATCGAGAATCACTCCGGGTTTACCAGGGGCACCTGGAGGACCGGGTAGTCCCGCAGGTCCAGGAACTCCAGGAAGACCATTTTTACCAGCTGTTCCCTTTGGTCCTTGAATGAACTGGCCACATTCACCCTGCAGATGGAGAAGGAAGCTTCGCCTGTTTTTCCTGCTTCTTATAAATTTGGTCTTGGTACATATTATCCGATTTAAGGTAATTCACAATATTTACCAGCACTTTTAGCTAGCAGCAGCTATAATTTTGTAAATCAACACTAAACGGTCTTTGATAAATTTACGTCACGTAATGGTATCAACCGAAGGCCCACGTTATGGTCATTTCAACGAAAGGTTGCCAAAGCAAAGGAATTTCATTAAGTTCATCAAGTGCTTATCGCGATCGCTCAAAATCCCAGCTAGGAGTCGCTATCTTCTGGAGTTGAAGTTAACGGGAGAAAAAGACGCAGAAGAAAGGCACGCGATTCTTGAGATGTTATAGCTCAGTAAAGGATATTTCACAGGTAAAATAGAGCTAACTAATTAGATCTTGTTGCAACGCCTTCATTTTACCATATATACTCAGTTTTGTTGGCTTCAAACAGCCGCCTATATTTAGAGATTAATAAAAGACATTGCGTGACTTTGCTCTTATACAAGAGCGCCCTCTTTATTTAGATTACTACAAGAACTGACCTCAGGTTTATAGCTTCTTGATAAAAACGCTTTATTGCTAGTAGCTGTAAGTGATACTAAGTTATGCTTATATCTATCATACCAGTTGAGTGCTTCTTTGTTTTAGCTTTGCATGTTAACACTGTATTTGTATTATAGTGCTTAATACGCATAGTATGTTTATATTTTCCCTACCACACCCTCCCCTTGCTTCAATAAAGCTGGACCACTGGTTTGAGTGCACACCTGCCAATCCTACCAGTGCATAGCAGGCTGGGTGGGGCCCTCACCCAATCTTAGTTTACTCACTTCCGTTGCCTGTTTTATTACCGTGTAGGGTGTGTCGTTGCCACCCTCATTCAATTGCGTATTTTACTAGGGTGTGTCGCTGCCACTCTCATTGCATTACCCAGTTTAGGTTGTGTTGCTTCCACCCTTACTGCATGCACTTTATGGGGTGAGTTGCTGCTAATCTCGTTTTCACCTCATGGTGCACCCAATAGCCTTTAGTCCCATTTACTGTCGAAGGTTTGTATTTGAGTATTTTTCTTTTAGTCTACATTATTAAGCCACGAAGTTCTTTATAGTTATTTATTTTGATATTTTTAATAACGTTTATTGAATAAAGTTGAGTATGATAACGATAAATACCTTTGTACAGTTTACGTCTCGAACAATTGTATAGCCTGGCCCTGGTTCTCCCTAAGAGAGAATAAAACAGTAAGAGAGAAATTAAAAGAAATAACGAGTGGTTGTTGACCAGTCGGAATGGAAGTCAATCACAACGGTAAAAGCCGTGGGAACATGGAAGGCGATACGTTCATTTTTGTTTTAATTTGTTCATAGACAAGGAAATCACCAATACCAAAGCTATGAAAATTGAACAAGTACGGCAAAAAAGTGACACACACGAGTTAAAGAAAACTTGTCTGTAATTCTCTGCAAATGAAAGCCAAATCTGTAACCTTAATGGGACGGATGAGGGTTTATCAACTAACGATGCCTACTTCTCGAAATTTTCTTTATCAGGAGTATATTTTTTCCACAGTTAACTGAATAACAGTATCGATCAATTAGGCACATTAAGGTACCCAAACCTCCTTTTACTAACATCCAAGAGTTATTTAAAGAAGGTTTGTATGGGGATGCCCCACCCCGACTCTAAGCCCCTACCGTTTCATATACCACGCTGACCAGAGAGCTACGTCTTTTTCATACCTTCTAAAGAAAATAATACCCACGTCATGACAACTTTTAGGCTTTACGACCCTTTAAGGTTAATAACTGAGCGACCTCAACCAATTCTACTCTTTACTTAACTCTATAGACCTTAATGGGCCGTGTGTGTTTCAGGGCAGCGGAACACCTCATACAATTTATTATAGTGTGTAAATCCACTCCGACGAATAAGAGAATATGATCAAGACTCATAGCAATACAAGAATTATTATCATTTTTGCACTTTAAAGGAATTGCCCGGCTCTGTAGTTCTATAGTTACGTTGACGAGAATACTTAACAAGGACAGGGTTACAACGGGTACCAATAAACGAGACGTTGGGCATTAACGTGTCTTTAAATACGCAATAATGCCAATCTAACCTTCTCTCCCTTAATGGTTTGAATTTCCTCTTCAGAATCAAGAAATATTGCTGGTCCAGGCCGTCCCGGAATGCCTTTAATGCCCTGAGGTCCTTTCTCCCCGCGGTCGCCTTTGGTTCCTTTCTCTGTCAGTAATAGAAGAACAACAATCCCTTGTTTATAAACTGTTACTATATTAGCTCAGTAAGACTCTTTGTTAATTGCCTGGTCCTTCACTGACGAAAAGTCGAACCATGTACCCATTGCAGCTTTAAAATTTCAACAATGGTTAATAAATCTATAATACTGAAACTGGGTTGGTTAGCAATGGTATTATTATTCATCAGTCGTGACTAGACAGGTTTTAAAGAACTTGTGAGAGTCAAGATCAACCACAAAACCGGCAGCTCTCTCAGCTTAATCTATCATTACCTAGCAATGTGAGAAGGATGCCTGAAATCAATTGTTTTGTACTACAGGGGGTGACTATATGCTTCTTACCTCCTTTAGGTCCCGGGAATCCGAGTGATCCTGCTGGCCCCCGAGGCCCGATAACAGAGTCTCCCTTGTCACCCTTAGGTCCTGGCAATCCTTGGGGACCTCGAGGACCTTGTAGCCCATTTTGTATCACGGTGGGAGTACCGATACTGGGCGCCTGAGAACGAAAAAATACGAGAAAGGGTTATATTGAGGAGACAGAAAGTTCCTCGTAGAAAGACATTTCAGTAAACTTTCAAACGTTTGTGAGTGATTTCCTGTAAACTCTGCAAAAACCAAAAGTTACCAAATCACAATAGAACGAATTACAGAACGAAGACAGCGTACCTCAGTCGTAAATGTGTGGGTCTTCACCTTTGTAGGAGATTCTTTAGTGGTATTCTCTGCTACTCCTTCAAATCTACCGATAATTGCATCTGTTACGTCTATGTCATCAATGGGTACAACTGTAGCCTTCGTTTTAGGCTTGTTGCTGGTCGCCGGCCTGTCAGGGGAGGTCTGAGTAATGTCGGTCAGACCCACCGTTTCTACAGCGCTGGAGGTTGCGATGGCAGCAGTAGATGGAGTGGAAGACATCTCGACACGAAACTTCGTGGTGTCTTCGAGTGGCGTTGAAGACGAAGTAGTTCTCGAAAAGACATATCTGACTGCTTCACTAGATGTTAAAGTTTCAACTGTTTCACTTCTTAGTGAAGCTTCCACAGTTGCACGTTCTGTGGTCATTGCTTCATTTGTCGACAATGCACTACCAGATGTAACTTCTGTTGTAACTGCTTCACTTGTTGACAGTGCTTCCTTGTTAATACTTTCTGTTGAGACTGTTTCATTTGTCGTCAGTGCTCCTTCTCCTTCAGTTGTAGTTTCCGAGGCAACCGCATCAATTGTAGGTAACGCTTTTTCGTGAATTAGAGCTTCTGTTCTAATTGTTTTACTTGTTGACAATACTTCGTGAGTTGGAAATTCTGTTGTAACTGCTTCACCTGTCGACAAAAATTCTTCAGTTACAGCTTCTGTTGTAAATGTTTTACCAGTTGAAAATACTTCGTCAGTTAAAGCTTCTTTTGTGACCTTTTCTCTTGTTGACGATACTTTATCAGTTGGA